GTTTGGCTCCTCACTCACCAGTCAACGCAATGAAGAGCATCAGTTATATTGATCATTGTATTCAACTAATATTCTGTATATTGGTCTACCAATCCAGGTCCTCGAATAGGAAGACAAACAAAAAAATAGATAAAATATATACCCTGACTTACCTTTTTACATCTAGGTTATATGTCAAAAGTATAATTTTATGTATAAATTATTAAAATGTTTTTAATAAAATAATATAAAAAATAAATTTATTAAAAATATTTTAATAAATTTATAAATTAAATTACAAATGCATTCTTAATTTCAAATTCCACCACTAGCATTAATTCTTTATCCCCTAAATATATAATTGTAATATAATTACCTTGTAAAAAAAAAAATAATGATCCAACAATTTATATTCACCTTATGAGAAAGAGGATTTGTATAAACAGAACAAGGAGAAACTTCATTCACTAGAAACCTATTGCCGCCCATGCCGGCTATCATGTCAGAGAAATGGACACTTATGACGATCCTTTGTATTCTTTAGCACCTCAGCTAATTGCGTGCAGATCTTATCACTCTCCTTCTTAGCTTCTTCTTGTTGCGCTGCCAGCTTAAGAGTTAAATCATTTGACATCTTTCGTGCTTCTTCTTGATGCGCTGCCAGCTTGAGAGTTAAATCATTTGACATCTTTAGTGCTTCTTCTTGTTGCGCTGCCAGCTTAAGAGTTACATCATTTGACATCTTTAGTGCATTCTTTTCTACCTCTAGTCGTGCAACTTGCTCATCTGCTAACTTTTGTTCAAGTCCAGAAGTAGCCTCTTTGAGCTTTAACTCAACCTATGTGAATAACAAAACATACCATATATTTTTAAATAAGCCTATAGCATATAATTAGTTTTTTTTTTTTTTTATTGGCCAACAGCATATAAATAGTTCATAAACTGAAACAAAACTCCCTCCAATACGTAAGGGTCCATTTAGTAACATTGATGTTTTTAAGTTTTGTTTTTATTTCTTCTACGACGACCCTTAGCATTCCCCGCACCTCAGCTAATTGCTTACGCAACTTATCAGTCTCCTTCTTAGCTTCTTCTAGTTGCGCTACCAACTTAGGAATTAAATCATTTGTTATCCTTTGTACATTGTTTTCTGCCTCTAGTCGCGCAGCTTGCTCCACTGCCAACTTTTGTTCAAGTCTAGAAGTAGACTCTTTGAGCGTTGACTCAACCTACGTGAATAACAAAACATACCAAATATTTTCAGATAAAACTATACATGTAATTAGTTTTTTATTGGCCAATAACATATAAATAGTTCATAAACTGAAACAAAACTCCCTCCAATACGTAAGGGTCCATTTAGTAACGTTGATGTTCTTAATTTTTGTTTTTATTTCTTTTATTTTTATGCTATTTATGAATGAGACCACTCATGCACACAAATGCAACAGAGAATCTCAGCTTTGTTCTGACAATGTCAATGTTAACCACTCATATTCATGCAACAAAATCGACAAAAAATTAAGAGTAAACCTACCCACAACTCGATAGATGTGTCATCAGTATACGGCTGTCCACCATGCTGCAACATAATAGTGTCAACAAGAGAGAGAAGCTGGTGAATTTGCTCGGCTTTCTCGGTTCTATCCCTCGTCTTGTTATCGAAAAGCAAATATCGATCATGACACAAAGTGAGAATTTCCTATATCAATGTTAAAAAATAAAAACTTCATGTTCACTTGCATAACAAGGGTAATTATAAACTAAACAAAAATTGCAAAGAGTTATCAAACTAGATTTTAATTCACGTAAAAAAAATTGAAACAGAGAAATATGCAAAAAGCTCACAACAATGTAAGAGTACATTTTTGTTAAGGTTTATCACAACCCCAAGATTATCATGATAATATTGATGGTTAAATTTCATTTATCTTATATTTTACACATCACTTACCATCACAAAACAAGTAAATTTATGCGAGTATCTTGAAAACATAAAATGCAGTTAATTGACATTTTCAACTCTATAGACTATAAAATAACATGAAGTATATAACCATATAAGGTAAATAAATGGCATAAACATAAGTACAACTATAAAGGACTTGTTTGTTCAAAGAGTCTTGGAAGGTGGGTGGATCCAGATCAACAAATTCCAATGAAGCTTATAACCACCGTTCATTTTCATTTTTGGGCAGTCATGGCCAAGGTCAAAAACTAACCTTTAAAGGCTGTGGACACTCTCGCCCCAAATAATCTTCCAAAGTTTCATCATTTGCTTCAAGCTCATCACCACCAGTGAAAACTACTATCATATAGTCCGTAACTTTGCTCCCAAAAAAGTTTTGAAAGCTACGAAGCTCAGTCTCTTGTTGCTGTGAGAAGTGACTTCTAACAGAGAAAACCACAAGGATTGCGTGGATACCATCCCTAGCCAACTTAAGACATTTCTTTATCAATTCCATTCCAGAAGAAAAATCAAACAGACCTGCAATTGGTATCATGTTAACAAAAGCCAATTAGCAAGTAATTATCAAGATGTAAGTATAGACATTGTACAAATCACTTGCACATAGGATCATTCTATTTCTATAGTTGAGGGACCAAGTGTCACACATGCAGTACTGAGAATTAGCAACTCAAGTGAGTCTAATGGTTCATACCAGGAGTGTCAATGACATTAATAATTTGGCCATCTTTTAACACGGTTCTTTCAAGTTGACAAGAAGTTGTAACCCCCGAGGAGCTAGCTCTTGACTTGAAAGCTTTCCGTCCGAGGATGCTGTTCCCTGTTGCACTTTTTCCATGGCCCGTCCATCCAACCAAGACCAGGGTTTGAGAAGGAAAATCCAGCTCCGTATCATCAGCCATTACACTCTGACCCTTGATCAATCAGTTTTCCTACAAAATCCAAAACATTCCAAAAAAATTATTGAGATATATACCCAGATGATCTTTTGCTTAGAATCAAAAATATAATTTACGAAAAATGATTTTTCTCATGCACAATAGTAAGAAAAAAGAAATAAAGAGGTTAAATATGCAACTAAAACTAAGAAATTCAACACAAGATTGAGACACAAAGTTTCAAGGGAAAAAAAAAATTCAAAACTAAACTCAACTTGATCTTTTAAAAGGAAGAAAAAAAAAAAAAACAGATTATAAAAGAAACAGAAAGAATTTACAAAAAAGAGAATTAAAAGATAAACATAAGTTTGACATTTTCATGTGTTCGATGATGTTTTGTTTTGCATTAGAAATAAAATCATAATTGATGATTCTAACCTAAAAATAAATATAAAAAAAACAAGAAGATTTGGGGAGCAATCAATGTTTACTAGAGATGAAGAAAACATGAATTTATAGAAAGCTTACTCTATGGGAAGATACGAGCAGATAATTAAGGGAAATAAGTAAAGAATCCTGAGAAAAACCAAGGGAAGTAAGCTTCTTGACTTGCCGTGGAGAAGACAATAAGTTGGAGTAAAGGGACAGAAAAGAATACCAACGTTGCTGCCTTTTTATTGAACGAGATGAACTTTTTTGATTTTTAAATAAGGCAGTCCACATTCAATTTTTTTTAAAAAAATAAGGATACCAAATTTGTGAGTTTTCTATTTAAGGATTTAATAGATGGCTAAACCGATGTGGCTGATGGAAATTTCTAGCTGTCTGCTGATGTGTTTAAAAGAAACCATGCATTGCTTACATGATTTGCGAACTGAATGAACCAACAAAAAAAAAAGGATATATCAGTTTAGCAGGGTCCATTGGAACACTTTAACACAAGTTTCCCTTAGAGTTATGTTCATTCAGTTTACCCCCAATTTGAAACTGCTATCTTCTCTGCAACCCTCAGCTGCACACACCCTCATTATCCATCTCTCCCATTACCGATCCACCATCTTAACCAGACAGACACGCTCCCATACATCTCTCCCTTTCTTCATTCCCTCTCTGTTCCATTTTTTCCAATCGATCTCCTCAACACCACAGATCCTCACCACCACACACACCGACATACCCCATCCTCCTCTCCTCTCCTCTCCTCTCATCTTGACCCTTGACCAAACTCTCTCCAGGTTGTCACTTACTCTTTCTGCTCCATTATTGCAAAAGAATGTTACCTCATGGAAAGCCAGTAGATTGTGAGATGTCAATCAATGGCTCAAAGCTTTAAACAACCCTCTTTCCATCACAAGCAGCAGCAATAACGATATACAACAAATGTTATCAAAAGTATGCACTTATTAATATCAAATATTCTATTGTTTTATATCAGATAAAATGAGAAGCAATCTAGTTTAATTTAAGTATTGTTCTATATAGAAAAAGAAGAGAAAGAAAATTCTTGACAAAAAGTGGCAAATGAAAACTAGGTTTCGTTGAGGACAAATTTATGAATCCTGCTATCAGTCATAGATTCAAATTTATACCAGTTCCATTAAAAAACTGCAAAACTCAATTCATATAAAAATTGCCAGAAATTTTAAAATTTTCCAACTCCCTCTTTCCAATGTCTAAGTATACACTATGTTATTAGCTGTTCCTATGAACCATTCCATTCCAAAGAGAGATAACGAATTAGGAGCCTGATAAATTTCCATGTTATGAACTATTTCAAACACAGCCCAGTTAAAAGATGATAAAAAAATCACCTAAATACCAAGCGCTAGAGCTTAAACTTACCGAAATCAAATCAAATGCATTTGTCTCCTCTTTCTTCAAATTGTTCATCAGTAAAGTAGGAGCTTGATTTTGACTGAAAAATATCAGGAGGGGGTGGTGAATATCCTTCATTAGTTCCACTACCATTACTGATACCAGGGTTTTGTGTGTTCAAGTTTGCAAGGTATTGGAGGTTGGACATTGTTGCTAGCAAAAATGCAGCTGAGCAAAGAGATTCCCCATGGTAGCACAATTTATAGGCTGCGAAGAAAAGGCTTGGTTCAAAATTAA